CTGCACCAGCTGTTCCAAACCTTACACAAGGAATAGCAATATAACCCTCTGCTTTGTCCACAAATCATCATCAAGCCACTGTGCAGGTTGGATATTATTTGGATTTTTTTTCCCTTCTAGAAGCCACCTGTTAGGTTCTTTTATGCTCATTTGTGTAAAACTTGCATATTGTGATAAGGAATGCATCTCATTTGTGCTTGAATTCTGGTCTGACCCTTAGAACCAGTTCAGTTCTCTAAATAAAAGGCAGGATTAATTTTTTTTCCCCTGTGAGCAGTTGTCTGAGCTGGTGAGCTGAATGAGGCAGTTGAGAGGTCAGAGGGGTGTTGAGCTGGCAGGAGGGAATCGATTGGGATGGGTTCAGCCCTGTCTGGATGCCAAACCCAGGATTCCCTAAGAGAACAGAAAAACCTCATGCAGGCAGTGCCATGGTGTGTTAGAGGAGTTCATGGATGGCAAGAGGAGCTGAACTTGCACTTGGTCGAATTTGGAGCATCAGTGTAGTGAGCAGGGTGGTGCCCACTGATGCCAGGTGGAGGTTTTAGCTGTGGGAAATGCAGTCTGTGGTGTTAATCTGCACAGTACATTCATCTCTTACTGAAGAAAACACACTGGCCCCTATTTCTTCAGTTCTTCTCATGTTTGTTCCTAGGAGTTTGCTGCTACTAAATTAGAACTTCTTGTTTGCTCCTGTGGCTCCCTCAGAAGTGCCAGCCTGCTTCCAGCCCAGATCCCTTGTGGTGCCACTGGTGGGCTTTCTCTGTTCTCAACACTTGAGGCTCATATTCATGCCCTGTTTCCTGTCTTTCAGCCAAGTGTTTATCCATGTGAGGACTTTCCTTCCTATCCCATGGCAGTTGAGTTCCTTAAAGAACCTTGGGTGAGGGACCTTGTCCAATGCCTTTGGGAAATCCAGGTAGACTATTCCAGTTATGTCTCCTTGTCCACGTGCTTCACTTGTTCAAGGCGTTCCAGTAGATTTGTGAGGCAGAATGGAAGGCCATGCTCTACAGGATAATGATTATGCATATACTCACTTATTCCAGGGTTTTTAAGTGTAATTCCCATTGACTTGACCCCTAGTGAGTATTGGGTTCATGGTGTTGCAGATCCCTTGAGTGTGTGCTGGAGCCCTTCTCAAGTGAGCAGTGCAAACCACTTTGTGTTTGCAGCTATTAAAGCCCTGCCTGGAGGTTACACACAACAGTTTAGGGTCAGACACTTTTCGAGTTGCTGTGAATTGTTCCTGATCATCTTTTGTTCATTGCAAGAACGAACAAGTACAAGGCTAACACTTGTACTGAGTCTTTGAATACTGTTCATAGTCTGTGATCATCTCTGGTAGACACAAGGGAACATTTTTCTGCTGTGTCCTCCAGCTCCTCACAGCTCACAGGATGCTCATTTGCAGCTTTTTGCTCCTGAAATGCTGGAGTAGGTACTGGGCAGCAGCTTAGAAGCTCGAGGATCCTGGTTTGCTTTATTGCCCATAGATCAGAACAGTAGAAAAGATTAAACTTCCCATGACTTTTTAGCTTTGAGTAAGGCTTATTGTTTGTCTTTGACTTTACACCCCAATCCCTGCACCTTGCTGTTCACAAACCCTTTGTAGGTGCCACCTCTGTCCCAGCCCTTGGTGCTTTCCAGGCTCTGCCTGTGTGTCCCTCCTGGTGGCTGGAGGTGACTCAGCAGGGTTTGCAGTGGGGAGCCAGCATTTTAATCACAGCAGTAGAATATAGGAACCTAAAAAATGGCCTGGTCATCATCATGACAGTTTTGTAGTATCTTGGGCAGTTGTTTGGAGTCAGCTTTTCCATAAAAATACACAGACCTGATCAGGCAGTGTGTGTGTGTTGTGGTGTTTCCTAACCAGCAGCAGGTGCTTGGGGAAGGATCTAAATCTAGGACAAGCATGTCATCCTCCAGAATGTTCCCCTCTCCTTCCACAATTTACATTTTTGGGATTTCCTGCTCTGATGGTGGCATGAGCTGACAGTAGCACAATAAGTGACAGCCACAATCACCTGAGAGGCTGGAACTTAACCACTTAAATAAAGTCTGTGTCTCTGAATCTGCATAACACTGCTTTTTCCATAATGCAGTGGAAGCATCTCTGGATTTTGTATGCAATGAGTTGTCATTCCTGCAGTAATCCTTGTTAATGAAATGTAATCTCAGACTTGTATTTTGTCTTGAATGGTCTCTGACTGAGCTTTCCACCTCCTTGTGGAAACTTCTAGATAGGTAAAACTGCACTTAAATAAAAAATAATTTCCTCTGTTGCCAGTGTGGGCGATTTTATTTTTGTTTTCTCTTGGAGGAGATACAGATAGGTTTTCCCCTTGCTTTTGGACTGCCTGTATTCTTAAGATTTTTCATCAGGCTTAAATTTTCAGGGCTGGATTATGGGTTTACCATAGAAGACCCAGGTATGTGCATAATATTTTGTTTGTTGAAATATCAGCCCAGATTTTTGTATTTTTAAGTAAAATTGGGCTCTTTACTAAACTACAAACCTTTTGTGGGTAGCCTGAAAAAGACTGATAAATGTTCTCTCTTTGGGTGGGACAGTTGTTTATGGGTGGGATTCTGATCTGTGGCTGTGTGGTCACCTAGTGACAAAATTAAGATTTTGTGGGGGAGCCCTTTCAGTTCCTGTTGTGGGTGTTGGGAGGTTGTACCCAGGGTGAGGGTGCTGCAGCTTCACAACAAATGGAGGAACCTGAGGTGCTCCCCATCCCCCAGCATCCTGTTCCCAGGGGCTGTTTAACTTACTAACAACTCAGTCATAAAACTGCTGGGGTGATAAGGGCTGTTTGCTGCTGAGGAGCAGTTGTGAGCCTGCTTTCCTTTGGCTGCCTCCTTCCTGTGCCTGTGGCTCTGCAGGAGGGGGGAATGACCTCCTTTGCCACAGTCTGAAACACTGACCCAGCAGCTCCTTCTAGGGCAGGGCTTTGGCTTTGGCTCTGCACCAGCCATTGCTCAGCTGAGTTGGGTTTAACCTCTGTTTCAAGAGCTTGTAGATCTTCAGTCTGGTAATAAATAAAATCCTGTAGGACCCAAGCAATTGATTAAATTGGTAATGATGTGTTTGAATGTACACTGAGAACAGCTCCTCATCTACAGGGAACAGCAAGTCTTGTCTATAGTTTTTTATTTCACATTTTCACACTACACAAATGTGCTTCTAAGGAAGAGGTTGTGAAGGAAACCTGTAGAACAGTTGATGAAATGTGCCCTTTTTGGCCCAGTTGTTGCAGTTTCCTGACACAGAGCAGAAGATCTTGGAAGCTGTTGCTGTCCATGTTCCTCAACCTCCACATTTCTGCACTCATTATTCCATGCAGATCATTGTTACATGGGATAAGTGTGAATGGATTTGTGTTGTCTTCATTAAGAGGCAGATTTTCTATAAAAGCATTGTGTACATCCAGGAGTATGACTGAAGAACTGTGCATTTAATCCCAATGGATAAAGCACAATATTAGAAACCCTTTAAAGAAAAGGCAGCATCTTCTGTAACCTCTGGGCTGCTTTCTGAAAGCAGTAAATATTAGCTTTAAAAACAAGACCTCCATTTTTTGCTGGAGCTTGACAAAGATACCCAGGTCATGAAGCCTGCAAGTCTCAATTCCTGATTGTCATTTTTATCCCCAAGAACTGTCAGACATCTTAATCTTGAGCATAGCTCTGTTGTTTAATAAACTTCAAAATATGAGATGGCTTAATTTGCATAATTTTAAAAATTCACAGCTTTTAAGTAGATTCTTTGTATGAATGGGGTGGTGGGGTCATCCTTCAGAGAGGAAATCACAGTGCTTGCTTTATTTAAGTAGCAAATTGTAGCTATATTATATTGCCTGTAGCTTAACTGGCATCAATTTCTTATGTTTATGTTAATATTAATTGTGTGAACATGGAGTGTTCTAGGGCAGCTCTCAGATTCTTCTCACCATTTTGCAATTGCAGGGTGATGTTTTCAAAAAATTTTATCAAATCCTTGGTGGATTTTTTTTGTTACTTTCTGTGATTTGGAGAGAAGCAAAATATGCAGATAAAAATAGAGCCACCATGAAGTGTTGTCCTCCACATATGGAGACCTGTTGGAGACTGATAACACTGATCTGCCAGGGAGCATGCAGTCTCCATTCTGCAGTAACTTGTGCTGTTCAGGTTGAGATTTTGACATCTGAGGGCCAAAAATGAAAGTTAAGCTTCATTTGTGTATTTAATGCTGTTCTTCTCATGTGTCTTGAACAATCCCAGTGTGGTCAGGTAATGAAAGAGTTACAACTTTCTTTAAGTGGTTCAATCTTTGCTTCCATTGGAGTGTAGGAAAGCTGGCTTTGGTTTTGGTATTGATTGTTGTAACCTCAGGTTTAGAAATACTTTTCAACAGGCTTAAAATACAAATATATATTAATTCATGTTTTGTGTGTTACTTTTCAGTGTGAATGGCTGCTTGGCTTGGGTACATAGGGTTGCTGTGGGGACACTCAGGATGACTTCTTTGTTACCTCTCCAAGCACCAGATTTTTCTTTTGGATGTTCATTTTCCTAGTAACAGTACTCATACATCTCTGCTTATATTCAAATCTGGATTTCATATTTTTGTTAATTACCACGTTACACTGTATTCCAGTTGAAAAATCAGTGGAGCATCCTCTGATTCCTCAGATTTCTCCTGATTGTGCCAAGAGCCAGATCACATTTGCTCACCTTTTCTCACTGTTCTCTGCTTTTTCCAGAGCACTCTGGAGAGCAAACACTCCTGTAGGATTGTGCTGATAACTGTTATTAATTTTTGAAACCCTTGTAAAATACCAGATGAATATCAGATACTTCCTTTGTGTATGTGCTGATTGATTTGTTTGGAACACTCCAGGGTAAAAGTGAGGAGTAGCTGGATTAAAGAAGGGAATCTAATTAATTTCCCAAGTTCTCATTAATGTACAGCTTGTATTGAATGATTTGAAAGATGCTTCAGGTGTGAGAATAATTGCCTGACCTTTTCCTCCTAGAAATGGTTGAATCAATGAAGAAGGTGGCTGGCATGGATGTGGAGTTGACAGTGGAAGAAAGAAACCTGCTTTCTGTTGCATATAAAAATGTGATTGGAGCCAGGAGAGCTTCCTGGAGAATAATCAGCAGCATTGAACAGAAAGAAGAAAACAAAGGTGGAGAAGACAAATTAAAAATGATTCGGGAATATCGGCAAATGGTAAGAGGGAGTTGGTCTTGGAGCAGAATGTCATTTGGTTCTGGTCCCTTGCCATAAACAGCCCTGCTGTTCCAGGCTGCCTGTGCTGTGCTGACCTGGAGGAGGGGGGCAGCCTTGGGAGGCTGGAGCTGGTTCCTTATCTGGAGAATCAATCTCCTGGTGCAGGGGAGAGCAGTGGTGCTGCTGGGTAAACACTAAGGAGGGCTCAGGGCTGTTCCCTCAGTGCATCAGCAGCTCTGCCAAGCGTCTGAACTGCACTGGTGCTTCCCTGCCTGCTCAGCTGGGAGGCTTCACCTGCTCAGGAGGCCTCATTCCTTCCCCTCCAGCCTCACTGACCCCAGGCAACTTAATTTTTTAATTAACCCTGTCAGAGGAGGTGTTTGGCTGTTAAACTTCCACTTCCTATAAAAGTTGCTTTGGATCACACAGTGACACTTTCTGTGATTCTCTGTCCTAGAGAGTTCAAAACATTAACACTTGAAATGTCCATGGGTGGGTTCTTCAGGCTCTTCTTGGCTCCTTCTGTCACTCCTGTTCCTGGGGATGTCCTGGTCATCCCAGCTGTGAAACTTGTGTGTGTAGCAGCCTCCAGGGCCTTGCTGTTTTCTCTCTGAAGAGAGGGAAAAATTGATCCACATAACTTCATGCTGACTGAGTCAGTGTGTGCAGCTTTACCTAAAATGGAGAACTTGCAGCAAGCTCTGACTTGCATTGGTAAGGGCTAATGAAAGCTCCAGATCTCAGTGAGTTTGTTCCCCCTGCCCTAAATGATGGTTCAGCACAGAGCAGGCAGCCTCCCATACGATTTAAATCCCACACACTTCTGCAGAGACTTCATCTCCATTATTTGAGGACAAGTGCCTCCACATGGTTCACATCTTCACTTCAGAGAAACACTGGAGTCTGTTCTATCACCTGGCACTGATTCATATACCAGCAATGGAAATGATCTTGGCTTGGGAATCTTCTCCCAGGAATGGCTCTGTCTCCTTGCTGTTGACTCACAGCGTTTCTGTTGCTCCATGGAATTGTTAAAGTTGGGAGTTTCTAATTTTATGCTGGCATGCTGATGGGATGAGACTCTGCCAGTTACATACAGTCCCAAATAACCTTTTCTTGATGGGTGTTTCCTAAAAGAACATAGAAAACAAGACAACAGCTATCCAGTGATTAAATTTGTTTTACATTGTGTGTTTCCAGATTCTTTTGCACAGGGTTTTGTGGGTGGTTATCATCTTCTGCCAAAGATCCTTTGGTGATGAAAAGACTTTTCTCCTGCTTTTGAAAGGACTCTGGAAATAGCCTTTATTCTGATCTCTTTTTGTAAAGGATGTCTGACATTCTGGATGGACTGGGGTGCAAGAAGTACAAGTTTGTGGTGCTTGAGGTGTCTGAAGGATGGAGAGGCCACCTGAAGTCAGTGTCATGCCAACAGGGTGTTGAGCTGTGAAATCCTCAGAGGGAGGGCCTGTCAGAGCTGCACAGGAGGAGCAGTGCCCTGGACTCTCACTGGTTCCACACTGGGGAAGGGGTGGCTGTGTCTGCCCAGCTCCACAGGGACTCCTACAAGAGGTTCCTGAGCATTATCTGAAAGCCAGATCCTCTTAGTGGCTGCTGGGACACTTAATAAGGGTTGGCATCTGCTCTGACTGTGAGGGTTTGGCAGGGTGGCCTGGGAGCAGGAACGTGGCCCAGGTTTGGAAGCTGCTGCTCACTGTCACTGCTCAGCACTCCTGCCCTGTTGTGCTCAGTGCTTCCCTGGAGAAACAGCTTCAGCAGAATTCTGCTCACTGTGATTCCCTTGTCAATAAATTCTGCCTATTGTAGCATTTTCCAGAGTAAGTTCATTGCTGCGAAAATCTTTTTCAGACTTGAAAGGCTCTGAAGAAGGGAAAAACATCCCAACCAACCAAACATTGCCCCCCAACCCCCAAACCATGTTTGGGGGCCAACAAGGCCAAGTTTAAAGCAGTGAGGAGTTGGAAAGAACCAGAATCTCTAAAAGACACATTTCTCATCCACCAGAAGCAGCTGTGAGTGCTGCTGCAGTAGGAATTGAGAGTTTCTGTAGTGGTTTTTGTGACAGTAATTCTTTGCTGGGTTGGGTGTGTGTCAGGATTTGCTGTAATTCAGCTCATGGCTCACGTGGAGGTTTTTGAGGTGGTGGCCAGTGTGGGCTGGGGCAGAACTGCAGGGATGGAGGTGCTGGGAGGGCAGGGCTGGGCTCAGGTGTACACTGGGCAGTAGTGGGAGATGGAGGACACCAGACTGTGCCTCTCCCCAGGCCACTCCAGCTGAATGGAGCCAAACACATCCACAGCCATGAGGGAAAATGCCATTTATGTGCTTCCTTTGTACACAGGCTGCTCTCCTGGCTCCTGTGGCCATTTGGATCCACAAAATCCCTGAATTTCTCATCTGGCTGCATCTCTGATGAGAGCAGGCTGAGGTTTGTGCTCTTCATCCTGCAGTGGGGTGTGGCTGCACACAGGGCAGTTCCTCCCTTGCTGTTTAACCAGATCCATCCTCACCCCATAGCACAGATATTAACCTGCCCCTTCCTGCTCTGGGATGTGGCACATGGAATTTGTGTTCCCAGTGCTCTGACACCCAGCCTGGGCTGTGTTTGAGCAGCTGCCAGGCTCTGCTCCATCCCCCCTTCTTAGAGAGTGCTCACTGAGCTGCTCTGTCTGGAACTGATCCTTTTTGTACAAGAGCTTGTAGTTTTGTTGTGGGGTTTTTTGTTTATTTGTTTTACTCTTAATCACCTTGATTTCTATTAAATCTTTTTAAGCTAAGCTTGCTCAGGACATTTCCATTGCCCTGGACAGCAGCTGATCTCTGATAAGTGTGACTGATCCTTTAAGCAAAGCTGGAAAAGGTCTGTCTGAGATGAAATAGAGTTTGTACATGTGTGGTTATTTAACTAAAGAGGATTAGAAACTGATTTAATTCTTTGCAGTTTTGCTGAAGATCTCTCTGCAAAAGAAGTCATTGAAAAAGAGGATCAAGAGGAAAGAAGTTTGCAGGAACTGACTGCTGGCCAAAGGTTTTATAGCTTTTGTAGCCCAAGAATGTATGAAGTAGATTCTTCTCAAGTGACCATATTTCAGCACCTTTCTTAAGCATTTGTCACATAATTAAGTACAGCATCTTATTCTTCCTGTGAATGTCAGGGCATTCTGACATTTGTCCATGAAATTTGCTGACAGTTAATTTACCTAAAGGAACTTTTGCAAATCTGTTACTTTGTACAAGTCAGTGTGTGTGTATGTGCCAGTTTATTATTTCTTTTGAAGCTGCAATTTGAACACTTTTGGGTATAACTGCTGTGGTTACAAACCCAGATAGTTTGGGAGCTGTGTGGTGATAAAAGGATTACAAGGCCAGGAAAATGCTTAAAGGAAGAAGGAAAGCAAATGCTTGGGTGGGAGGATAGGAAGGGGTGATGGACTGAGTGGGGCTGCTCTGTGATCCAAGACTTGCAGTTCCTGGCAGTTTCTTTAATGCATTTGCTTGAAATCTCTCCTTTATATGAAATCAGCTTGAGGCAGAGTTCTTCTCTTCAGTGTAGCTGTGAAAGTTGCTGTGAAATGATGAGAAAGCAGCAATGGATGGGAGGCTGTGCATGAAACCAAGCACTGCTGCTGGGCTGAACTGGGGGCTCAGAGCCCCCCTGGTTTGGGCAGTGCTGGTGGCACAGGGGGGGTTCAGCTGCCCTGGGTGTGCTCAGTTCCTTTGCCTGCAGGTGTGAAACTGTGCTGAACCCTGACCTCATAGGCCTTGCTTTATGTTTGGAACTGGAAACAATGATGGTTCATGTGAATGTTTTCAGTTCAGACTATTCAAATCCAGTATCTGTTTTTAAATAAGGCTTTATGTGCTGTATTTTTGGCCACAGATTTCACTGTCAGTGTTGATGATTTCTGCTTTTTCACTGAGTCGCTGCGCTTTGTGTTTTTCACCTGCTTCTGGAGCTTGTTTTCATCTTGTACCTGACCTTTGTTTGTGTGCACATCTTGATTCTGTTCTGATACTCCATGATTTTTGTCTTAAGGCTCTAATTTTAGAGCTTTGCCTCCAAGGACTCAGTAGGACCTGTTGTGAAGGTGCCATTTCACTCTGGGGTATAATGGAGTTGAGCTGATTCAGGTTAATTACCTTCAAATTGTCCCCTTTGCTGTTACCACTTTCAGGGCAGCCTTCTGGGATCAAAAATGGAAGGAATTGAGTTGTGCAAGCCTTGCAGTGAGGAATTACATCCTGAGACAAACAATGCAATGGTCTAGCAAGATGTCTTCCAAGGAGTTTCCAGTTCCACTGTTCAGTTCCCCATTTCATCATCCATCAGTCCCTGCCTCTTGTGTGTTCCAGCTGAATGTGCAGAACTGTTTTGCTTAATGCACCTGTGGAGCAGCTGCATTTTATTTATTTTGCTTCTGTCTTAACCCTCTTTGGAATTTCATGATATTACCTGTTTGATATTTGGGTGCTTTTGAAAGCTTTTAGGCTTAAGTGCTCACCCTGCCCCCTCTTCTAATTTTTTGTTATATTTTTACTTTTCTTTATAGGTTGAGACTGAACTGAAGTTAATCTGTTGTGACATTCTGGATGTACTGGACAAACACCTCATTCCAGCAGCTAACACTGGCGAGTCCAAGGTTTTCTATTACAAAATGTAAGTACAGGTCTGAAATAGAGACAGAAATCTTCAAATACACTGTTGTGTATTGCAACTCTTAGATGTAAGACCAACAGTTTTTATTGAATTGCTGATGTAGAAATCACATCTCTGCTTGGATTTTTTTATTTTGCATCAGCTGAACATTTATAAAGAGAAGAAAAGGTGTGTCTTGTAGTGATGGTTTAAAATTCCCTCAGCTCCTGGTGCAGTGTTGTGTAAATATCTAAAACCACTTTAATTTCAGCTGTTAATTTAATGGCTGGTGGGCAAACAAGGATTACTGACTTCCCACTGCTTCTGTTCTCAGGAAGGGGGACTACCATAGGTATCTGGCTGAGTTTGCCACAGGAAATGACAGGAAGGAGGCTGCAGAGAACAGCTTGGTGGCTTACAAAGCTGCTAGTGACATTGCAATGACAGAACTCCCACCAACACATCCCATCCGCTTAGGACTTGCGCTCAACTTCTCTGTATTCTACTATGAAATTCTTAATTCTCCTGATCGTGCCTGCAGGTAGGTGGGATATGGCAATGCTGTGTGAGTACCAGCCAAGGCAGGAGTAACTGCTCTTCCTGCTTTCTTCCTGCTGATGTTTGCTGTGATTGGTGTCAGTTCACTGGGAAGATTTTTACCGTTTTTTGGAGTCCAAGCTGCCACCTGTTTGTGTGGGAGTAATGAGAGGCAGCACAGTGATAACCTTGAATTGATCAGCTGATGGCAGCTCAGAGCTTGCCAGGTTAACTCTGTGCATGCCCTCAGACTGCCCAAGGTGTGAGGTGATTTAACCTCTCTTGCACAGGCTGGAGGGGGTGGTGGCACTGATTTCTGTGGCCTGTGAGCATGTGCAGAGTGGCAGTGATTGAAGCAAATCCCATTCCTCTAACACTAAGTTTTTAGCAGCACTTAATCAAGATGTAGAAATGCTTAATAAAACAAATATTGAGTAAAAAGTTTCTTAGATCACATAAAGTGGCTGATGTTAAGTTGTGCTTCTGGATTGTGTTCAGCAGTATTTGTTACATCTTTGTTGTGTCACTGCAGGTTGGCAAAAGCAGCTTTCGATGATGCTATTGCAGAACTGGATACACTGAGTGAAGAAAGCTATAAGGACTCTACACTTATCATGCAGTTGTTACGTGATAACCTGACACTATGGACTTCAGACATGCAGGGTGATGGTGAGTGAGTGCTGCTGGGGAAGCTCCTGAGCCAGGAGCAGAGTGTGGAAATGGAGAGCCTTTGGTTCACTTCTGTCTCTCCTAATAGTGACCCTCCTGTCCTGCCTTAGCACTGACCAGGTGACAGGGGTGACTCTGGGGTCTTCTGAGCTCTCACTTGAAGGAAGGAGGTGTGGAATTAGCAACACTTTGTTTGTCCCTTCCCACATAACTGTAAAAGCAGTGACTCCATTTATTTCATCTTTTCTTTCTTTCCTGCATCTCTGGCTGTCATTCCAAGCAGATGTGACCCTCCAGTGCAGGAGGGAGCACTGCAGATCCTTAGTTCCCCTTCATTCCAGGTCACTCCATGTTCTCACTGCTACAGCAAGTGCCAAATGTGTCCCTGGCAGCACCAGAGGGTGGGACATGGATGCTTCTGTTCACTAGCAAAGGATGGCACACATTTATGAAGTGGTTTTGGCACACTGAATGGACTTTCCCAACTGCTAAACTTTTCACATTCAATGCTTAGTACAAATCTACTCATTTGAGGGTTTCTGTCTTGGAGAGACAAATGAGAAGAGCTGACTTCTTTACTTTTAACTTGGAGGGGAAGAAATAAGTCCTGCTAAGATTATTTTGGATACCTACAAATGCCCAGAGCTTAGAAACAGCACTGCTGAACTTCACATAAGTATGTGAATGTCTTAAATTATTGGCAAGCTGTTCTTGTAGCCACACAGCATTCTTGGGTGTATTTCACTGGTGCTGTGTCCATTTGAAAGCAAATGCAGACTCTCTTAACTTCCCAATTTCCTGGTTTTGTGTAGGATGATGGGTTTGTTTTGAAGTGTTGTTACTCCATAGATTCTCACTGCTCTTTGGGCTGCTGAGGCTGGGAATGCTGTAAATGTGTGGGCTCTTGGCTCCTGCTTTACTCCACATCCCAGTGTTTAAGGCTCTTGCACCTCCCCTTTCAAGGATGATCTCTGGTGCAGGATGGACCCTGGATGCATCTGTAGACTTTTCTCTAAAACATTTCAGGTGTTGAATGCCTTCCTTGCCATGAATAGGCATTAGAGAGGAGAAATGTATTTCAAATTCCCTCCATTTAGATGCAACCTTTACTTTTTTTTATTGGAGCCAAATACCCTGGTAGTCTGTGGAAGCCACTTTAGTGCAGTAACAAGGTTGGATCAGTGTGGGACAGTGCCAATGTCTTCCAAACATTGCCTTCCAAAAGTTCCTGATCTGCTCAGAGCTGATGTCTCTCATGGATATTGTAGAAGTTCCACAGGATTATTTAGATTTTGAAAAAAGAAATAGAGGTCTAAATTTCTTGCTCCACAGCATGGAAAATAGATATTTTTGTTATTCCTGAAGAAGTTCAGGTTGTCCTGGTTACTGATGCCAGGAAGATAATGATGACAGAGTTGAAGATACTGCAGGACTGCTTAAAATCTTGGTGGAATTCTTCAGATCCAGAGAAGTGATAATGTAGAATGTTCAATCACAGGTGCAAAGTTGAGTTTCCTCATACTTTGCTAATACTGTGAGTGCATTTCCAGGGCTCCATATTCCCAAACGAGCAGAGCCTTTGAACAATAAATCAGTGGTGCCACAATGAGCACAGGGAATGGGAGAGGCTTGGAAAGGGCTTGTCCCTGGCATTAAGCTTTTCCCTTTTCCATTTCAGCCCTGTAGGGATGTAAAGCCAGGCTTGGCCCAGCTGCTGCTCTCCCATCCCAGTCCCTGTAGCTTTCCCATAGCCCAGATGAGTGTTGAGTTTATTTCCACACTTGTAATTTCATCTCCATATGATTCCTGTTCTCCCCTTCTTTCCTGCTGTATAGATTCCTAAAGGAAAGTCCAACTGTTCATTTCCTAAAAACTCTACTTTGTAAGTCTCTTGTTGTGGCTCACTGGAGTTTTCAGTGTCAGTTTTCCTGTCACTAACAGTGCCTGCCTCTGTCACCTGCTGCTGACAAATGCTTGTGTCCCTGCTGCCACTCCTGTGGCACCTGTCCCTGCCCAGGGGGAAGGTGCTTCCCCAGGATCCAGAGTAACTCACATGGTTGGGAGCTGAGCTGCAGTCCTGGATGGAAAGAGGAGTATTTGGGCATGGGGAGTACTCACAGTGACCTGGTAGAGGAGCATTGCTCAAGTGTGTTGGTTAGAGCATGCTCAGATCTTCTAGTCTGGGTTAAAGCCTCTGCTTTCCTCTCTTAAACAGAATTCTGTCTGTAAACTTTATTGTTGTTGAATGTCCTGTGTTCCTCTTCCAAAATCTACTTCCTATTTTACCTGGTGCTAATCCTGAATCTGGACATGCTCTGAGCAAACATTCTGGTTATCTGCTGGAAGTTACCAGTCTCATTTGATTGGGTTTTATTGCAAATGAAGTTTTTAATTACTAATTTCTGTTTATTGCCCTTAAGAGAGTCCCATGTTAATGTGGTTACAGATAATTGGTAGCGTTTTTTCAGCCTCCCTTATCAATTATTGACTTGTGCATGTGTGATGGCACCAGCTGAGTACCTGGAGCTTGCCCAGGTGCAGGATTTTGGTCAAGCCCTGCAGAAGGTGTTGCATGGAGCTCCCTGGGGCAGCTGGAAGTAACCAAAGTGCAGGAGTCTCATGGACAGCCCCACCCCACTGCATGGCACAGCCATTAATTTCCACAGGATGGTTTTATTTAATTACCTTGAACCCAGGGTTTCTGTCAGGTTGGACTCACAGTAGGGTGTTTTTCATACACTGAGGGCAGGAGTTACCAAAGGTAACTATAAAATTCCCTGAAGTGCTTTGCTGTTGAGTCTTGAGTGGGTTTGGGGAGGGATTTGCAGATCCAGGGCTGTTGTTCCACAGCTGCTGCCGTGGTTCCTGCCTGGGCTCTCCAGCCCTTGCTCACCTGAGTGGTGTCAGGTTTCAGGGCTGGGTTTGTTTGTCCCCACACGTTCCAATGGCCTGGCTGCAGTTGTGTGAGAGGGTGCAGGTGATTCCAAGGCTTTGTTTCCATGGGAATGCTTCACTCTGGAGCTGGCAGTGTGGAGTGGGAGAGTGAGCGTGTATTGCATGGAAATATTAATCTCTAGGTGCTTGTTAAGCTGTTCTGCAGCTCTCAGTTTGGAATGGTGACATTTTCCTTCCTTCTTCTCACTTCCACAGGTGAAGAACAGAATAAAGAAGCGTTGCAGGATGTGGAAGATGAAAACCAGTGAGACACAAAGGCCAACAAGAGAACCCATCTCTGACCACCCTCCCCCTTCCCCACAAAAACCCTCAGTGTCACTCTGAGAACCACCAAATCTGACTTTTACATTGGGTCTCAGAATTTAGGTTCCTGCCCTGTTGGGTTTCTTTATTTTTATTTTTTTTACACAGTTTAAAAGTTCTTAAAGGCAAGAGTGAATTTCTGTGGATTTTACTGGTGCCAGCTTTTAGGTTCTTTAAGACACTAACAGGACTGCATAAAGGCTCTTTCAGCATTACTGTATTGTCTCTGCCAGCTGTGGTGACATTGCCATCAGACCTGGATGTGACACCCTGAAGGCCGTGTAGGGAGAGATTGGTCCTGGCCAGGTAGTGCTCATTGTGGTGGCATCTTTCTTTTTTTATAACTGTTTAAACTGAATTTTATACCAATGTTTCAACTTAATTGGGTGTTTAGCTTGAAGTTGCGAGGTTGCATTTGGGACATTTCTTGTAGTGGTTTTACTGTATAAAAACAAAAAGTTTCCAAACTGCTGAAACGTTGCTGAAAATCATGGTGCTGGTAACAGTTCAACAATCCGTGGCTGCTCATTCTTGCCTGTTCTTTACTTTCCCTCCAAGCAGGTTAGCATTGAAGGTGGCATTGATAAGCCTGCATGCGTGTTCAATATTTTTTCTTTTCTCCCTCCCCTCTCCCCATCTCCCTTCGCTCGCTCAACCTCTTTTGTTCAGTATGTGTAACTTGAAGCTAATTTGTACTACTGGATATCTGACTGGAGCCACAGATACAGAATCTGTATTGTTCTTACTGAAACACAGCATGGAATTAACATTAAACTTAAATAAAACAAACCTAAATTAAAAATGCCAACCATCACTATGAATTTCTTTTAGGATGATAACTTTCCTTTGTTGCTTGTGCTAGGAACAGTTGGAGGGGCAGAGAGCAGCAGGAACAGCCTTGTTCTTCAGACAGGAGCTAAGGAAGATGTGGTGTGAGCGTGAGTTGTGCTGCTGGGAGCAGCCCTTTTATCCAGTCTTGCCCTGTATAAACCCTTGGGAAATGGTTGGTGAATTCCTCCCACCTGCTGTTCCAGTTCCATAGAGAAAGAGAAGGGACTCAGGGTATCTGCTCTGCTGGGATAACCTGCTCCTTGGAAAGGACACAGAGCTGGGGTCAGCCTCCCCCAAACCATGTAAGGAAACAGCACCAAAGACAAGGGGAGTTGGTTTTTCGTAAAAATTTATTCAGCGTAGTCTGGCAGAGGTTATACACCAACATCTGCAGCGTGCCCTGCACACACTGAGCACAGCTGGCAGGGCTGGACAAGGGCATCAGGAACCAGAGCAGGAGAGGGAGCTGAGGCTGTGAGAGGCTGCAGGGGCTGGGAGGCACTCGGGGCTGGCTGTGGCTGCAGCAGCACAGAGGGAAGGGTCTGAGGCAGGGGGGGCTGGGCTGGGGGGCTGTGCCATGGGGGCAGCAGCAATTCCCCATGCAGCCCTGCAGCCTCAGGTGTCTGCACTGAAGGAAGGTGCTGAGGAGGAGCCTGTGCTGCAGCCAGCACCCACCCCTGTGTCCCTGGAGCCGTGGGACAGCAGCACTGAGGCTCTGCTATAAATACTGTGGGAATCAGAGTTCCAGTTCTGGAGCAAGAGGAAAAGCCATTTTTCCTGAAGGTGCTCTGAGCCTGCGGAGCTGTGAGGGAAGGGGCAGTGGGGACTCCCAGACAGGGAAAGAAGGGAAGTGGGGGATGCTCATGTTCATCCCATGGCCAGCCCAGAGCAGTGTAACCTCTGCAGTTTGTATTACATTGTGTTTGTGTGGATATGAAAAATTCCTATGGTATAAAAATAGAGAGCAAGAAATGGGACAGCTGACTTCAAAAAAAGATAAAAGTCTCTGGCTCCTGATCAGTGAAGTTACATCATGGGTTTTTAAGGTTATGCCTTGTATAACCATAAACTAAAACCAACAAAAATTCCAAATCTAAAACATAAAATTTCCACATCAACTCCATCTCTCGTAGTGCATCTCGTGCTTGGCTATAAAGTATTTACAGGTTTTACTCATTTACACAATATGGCTTCACTATATTTGTAACACAAAGCATTAAAACACCTCTGAGCAAAATTCTTCATAAAACATTCTGAATACAAAGTTTGGCATTTCAGTGATTTGGCTGAGAAAGCAGCAGAGTTACTTGTTTTCTGATTGTGCTTTTTTTGGTGATGACAAGCACAAATTTTGGTCATTTCCATCAGGGCTTAAACTCCTTCTCCAAGCCCAGCTGAAGGTGCCGAGCTGTGGTTGCAGGGATGCTGTGCTGGACCCACCTTCAGGCAGGGAAGGAGGAGAGGAGAAGGCCTTTGTCTGGGACTTTGAGAGTAAGAGGAGAGAGCAGGGATGAATTTTGTGGTTGTTCTGAAAGTGCAGGTCTTTGGTAGTAACAGAAAGAGCAAAGCGAGGAGGGGGGGATTGCTGGGAGCAACGTTCAGCCAATTCCGTGGAGAGGAGGGAAGGTCCTGGAGCAGGGAATTGTTCATCATCGGGAATTCAGCCGAGGAGCCACCTGCAGGAGGAGGACAGGTTTGGAAATGTGTTCAGAATCCTGCAAAAGACACTGAACATGCTGATTTTAATTCCTGAACATGCTGAGGCTGCTGTGAGGATGGGCAGCCCTCTGGTTCTAATGGGAGCTCTCAGCTCTGCTGGAAGGGGTGTCAGGCAAGTCTGGATTTGTGCTGGATTTATTTTTGAATAAGCTGGGGTCTGACAGTGCATAAATCAGCTGTGGGGCTGATCTGACTGTCAGGATCACCACAAACAAGCTGAGAAAGGGAGAAGATTTTGTTTGAGTTTTTAAATGTATCTAAAATTTGATTTGCTATGAAGTAAATGAATCTTAGGGGGTGGAAATAAAAAGTGAGGACAGTCCCTTGCTGAGTGTGAGTTTGGCAGCAGGAGCCCTGTGCCCAGCTCCAAGTAGGGGAAAGGCTGGGATAGCAGGGCAGGAACATCCCCTGGCTGTGTCCCAGGCCCCAGGGTGAGTGATCCCCAGCCCACACTCACCACTGTTAGATGCCCGTTCTTGGCTTTGGCTATGAGCAGCTCCGAGCCCGAGATGAAGTCGATGATCCCTTCTTTGCCTTGTCCCACTGTGAACTTTATGCTGTGAGGAGCAGAGGGTGAGAACAGCCCTGGTGAGCGTGTGGGACTTCCCAGGAGCTGGGTGCTAACAGAGCTGCAGCAGATGTGCTCTGGAGCCTTGGCTGGGGTGGATGGGGTACATTTGGGTGGGCACAGGAAGAAGCAGGGTCCTGGTGTCACTCACCTGCCCTGGTTGATGTTGACATTGTTGATTTTGTTGGCCAGAATTGCTGTTTTTGTCAGTGTCTCAATCACGTGGTCACTCTGCAGGACAACATCACCCTGGGAGGGGAATCCATGCTTTAGGATCATGGCTTTGGTGTCACTGCACCAAAACTAAACTGCTGCAAGGGACGGGGACAGGGACAGCACCAGAGGGGGCAAACGAGCACTGCTGAGCCCCGGCTGAGAACACAGGGAAATAGCAGTGAAAGGGCTGGCACAAAGTCACAGCCCTGTCCCTTTGTCACCCCCTGCTCCCTGGAGGAGGGAGGGGTGAGCCCCCAGTACCTTCTGCTTGTTGTCCTCACAGTGCACGTGCAGCACAAACAAGTTGTCACTCAGGCTGCTCACAGAGATGCCTGGGGAGAGATGGGAGTGTCACAGCACTGCCAGGAGCTGGGGAGGGCCCACAGCCTCTCAGGAGCGCAGCAACTGTTCCACCCAGCCCACTGGGGGGCTGCAGGGCCCACACTGAACAAAGTCAGCAGTTTTCCCCCCCAGTCAGATATTCCAAGGGCCAAAAGCTGCAGCAGTGGCTCAGGGAGCTGCTGTGCAGGAATGGTGCAGCTCCTCCATGGCCAGGCCCTGCAACTGGGAAATCACTGAGGGGCAGGGCTGAAAGGAGACTAATTTGAGTAATTTTGGTGACATTTATGGAGCTTCATTTTAGAAAAACGCAATTCCAAGATACTAAAATGCTTGCCAGGATCAGCTCAGCCCATTCTTGTCCAGGACAAAGACAAAGTGGAGTGTGTAGTGCTGAGGAGCAGGGTGAGGGGTGCCCATGCCAGCCTGTGCCATCCCCACCTGTCAGGTTGCAGTAGTCGATGCGCTGCTTGATCTTGGACTCCTCCACCACGATGGCCGAGCTGTGGGTGAGCAGCAGCTGCCGGGCCCTCGCCTTGTAGCCCTTCCTGTCGTACTTGACCACGGGCACTGCATACTGAAACACGAGTGAGCAGGGCCAGGGCCCCCCTGGGCACTGCCAGCCCCCAGCGGGCACCAACCAGGCCTTGGCAAACCGGGAATGCAGAAATTCTCTGTGCCAGAACTTCCCTGAGCAGCTCTGGGCACACCCTGGTGCCTGCCCTGCCTGGGGACTGGGACACCCAAGGGGCTTTTCCCCCTTCCCCTCCAGCTCTAACCCATTCAGTTCTTAACTGCCATCATTCAACTGCCCAAATCTCCACTTTCTAATCCATCAACTCTTCCCAGACTGCCCTCAAAAGTATTACAAGCTTAATATAAAATTCTTGCTGTACTTTTTCCAGAAATCTAATTTGCCCTTCTGCTGAATAACTGGGAGCTTGACAAAAGCTTGACATCTCTCACCTTAAGTGCTTCATTTTCTAATGCTTGAAGGACTTTAGCATTTATTTCTTCTCTACCTGTATTAAAACCAAAGAGGTGGGGGGGTCAGAAAGGAATTTCCAGCAAGGAAAGAGTTCATTAATCCCCCCCTTCCCTCCCCCTGTTACACTTGGCAACCCCCACTCACCCAGTCGAGTGTTGATGAAGAGCCTGGGAACACTCTGAGGATAATTGTCTTTTTTACCCTTGAATATCTCACTGGCAATTACTTTTTGTTCCAACTGCAAGGATAAAAGAAGTGTTCTTATTTAGTAGAAAAATTTTCCTCATTAAAAAGATACGTCTGTGTTAGAAGAGATGTTCCCTTTGTGGTTTTATTAGCAGTCATAATTGGATGAGGAGTCACCCTAAACTTTCAGCCCCTGTCAGTGACTGAGCCCTGGGCTCCTTTGCTCCAAGAACAAACCAGGGGTTGGGAAAGTGGGAAATCCCTCCTGTGACACAGGACAAGGCATCTGGGGTGATTTACAGGGAAAATGGGGATAAAAGTGGCTCCTTATCAGTGAGTCTGGTCTGCTGGGGGAAAGCAGCAGCTGAGCTGAGTTAATCCCATGTCCCTAATCACAGGCTCAGCCTCATTGCAGGTGTCCATGCACTGCAGGAGGTGAGAGAGGGAGCAGGGAAAAACCTTCATGGCAGTTACAGCCAACAGCTCCTCTTCTGTCTCTTTACTGAGCTTTTTTTTCCCTCCCCCTACCTTTCCATGAGATGAATCAAATCTCAGTATAATTTTTATTCTTTTTAGCTACAACAGAGCAGTTGAAATGGTTCCTGTAACTTCTCTGTTTAGAAAATGACTGGGTTTGTGTCTGCAGGATTCTTACTCTCTGCTTTACATGGTACAGGCAGAATAATGCAGCTTCTTATATTTTTAGCTTCCATGGGCAGAGTAGCAAGGCTTTTCAATAGAGAAATTATCTGGGGGCTTGGCTCCACAGCCTGTTTAAATAGTATCTATTGAAATATGTATAGAATGGGGTCCCTTCTGTGCACATTCCAGCTTTTAGTGTTGTGTGTCTGACCTAACCCCAGAGCAGTGACCCTGCTCCTGTGGCACCCAGGAAGCAGAAATTCCCAGCCCTCCCCTGCCACTGCTCCCCTGCTCCCCTCCCTTGGGTTCTGCCCTGGGC